ATGTTGCTCCCATTCGTCCTTGTTGCTTTCATTTACAGTTTACCAATCGAGTTTGGTTTTTTGAACGTCCTCATGCGATTGGTTTGTAAAGGCTAACAGAAGTTGGCTCAGGCAGTGCATGCAAGGGACTTTTCAGATCAATGGAAGGTTAACCATCCGTCGATGTATTTTTTATTTTTCATTTTTATCGCTCTTATTTTCTCAAATGGTACACCACCACCGTTCTGAGGCATTCAGCATCGCATTTCACACTTCTTAGCAACCTTCTTTTGAGCGCAAACCTTTTCTGAAATCGGAATAGAGTGTTTTGAAAATGCGCTAACGCTATTCTGAACACTGTCTGATATAAATCACACATACAGGCCTATTGAATCTCTTTGTTGATCAATTTGCTCAGTCCATCGATCATCGCGGTCGAACATTTTCTCTGTTCTTTCTCTCATTGTGCCCGACTCAGTATGTAATGCGGATTGTGTGAACACGCTTTTCGTTCAATCTTTTCAACCTGTTTGCTACAGTTGTCCTTCATATCGGTTGCACACCTCATATGATGTTTTTATTTTTTCTTTGTGTGCCTGTGTGTGTGTATTGAACTACACTCTGTTTGATTCAATTGTTCATCCTGACCTCCGGTTTGGTGGTTGCATAGAAGAGGAGTAGGACAGCATCATCTGGGCCTCACAAAGGACCATTCATTATATGAAAACAAAGGTTGCTCTAGGGTCATTTGATCGATTCAAGCGCCTCTGTGCGATTAGTTCCGACAAGACCACATCGTAGATTTTCTAACTTTGACCGTGGCGTTATATCAATGCATGAATAACACCGATTGGAAATTGAAACAAGAATCAAAGTCGTATATGATTATCGGCTCCCTTGGAATAAGGTTCCAACACCAGTTATCTGGTTAGCGGTGCATTACCAACCGTTTTTCAGATTCTTATATCGGTACAAGTTCTGCTTTCGAATAGTGGGGTCACAGCCATAGGTCCACATAATGCAATCATTAACCTGTAAATTTATCCATCGAAATTCCTTCAGGTATATACAAAAGCCATGGATAAATGAGCAGGGCACATGATTACAATTTACTCGCGGCAGGTGGTCCTCTCACGTGCTAGCTTGTGTTGATAAACTGCGTCGCTTATCTTTTGAAATGCGCAAGGTACGACAATTTCGAGTGAGGCATGTTTATCACGCATTTTTCCTGTCATACTTTATTGTTCGCCCGTTATTTTCCACGGACTAATTAGAAAGGATTTCATTACTCTGCGTCGCGGTTTAGTTAGCAATTATCAGCCATGTTTCTCTTATTCCTTCAAACGCTCTGATCATAAAATTGTGTAATTTGCATATCCATTCATGTGAGAATTTCGCTCATAATATACTCAATGACCCTAGTCATCCGCTTAATCCCGATTTATCTGCTTGCCATTCCCACGCTACAACCCGATCCAATTTTCGGTGCCTTCCCTCACGCATAAACATTTATCGCAACTCAACGGTTCCCTATCTGGCTGGTATTCTCACTGACACGGTGAGAATCTGTAACGAACTAATCTTAAACCTGCAAAGATGAATACCTATTTAAATTTATCATTGTTGTATACGAATTTGTATTTCACTTTTTTATCCCATTGTAACGGTGAACATATTTTTAACTGAAATGTAGACACGGTTGCCTGCGCAAGTCATCTATAATACAATACAATACAATAGTAAATTTATATCCATTGTCCTTATAATGATCGATTGGTGGTGGCCCGATGGTAGCGTCACCAGATTACCACTCCGGAGGACGTGTGTTTGAATCCCACAACCACCGCCTGACTATCCTCATTCTCTGTGT